AGGAGGAGGAGGAGGAGGAGGAGGAGGAGGAGGAGGAGGAGGAGGAGGAGATGAACTGACATGGGAATCCATTAGCTGAACTGCCAGGGGAGGGAATCCTCATTTAACTTTTGGAAAATGAACATATGTGAGGGAGTGGGATGAAGGTGGTATAGGACTGTAATTCCATGGACAGAAACAGTGGAAGTTAGTTCACTAACTAGAGGTGCTCCAAGGATTTCCACCACAAATACATTGAAAACATTTAAATGAAGACAGTGGGGGATTCTCGGTTGCCAGGTTTAACATCTTGGGTTTCAATCCCAGGATTTTTTTTATTAAGCAGCTGCAGTTATGCACAACAGTATTTTGCTTTAAAGGAGAAATGAGATAACACCATGTTTTTATTAAACTTCAAAGAACAGCCTTATCAACCCAGATGTATTAGACTACAGCTGCAGATCACACAGGCTGTGAATGACAGGAGTTATAATTCAACATATATGGAGATTATCCAGTTGAAGAAGGTTGTCAGGGAGAATATATGAATATATTGGACTGGAATGTTGGTATTCTAATCTTTTTTACCTTAAATTAAAATCAGACTTCTCAGCAACTCTAGGAATAATTGTTGGAGGAATTTACCATGATTTTCAAAGTGAAATCACTAATTTCCTGGTTCCCGCTCATCTTTTTGCTGGCAGACCTTTGACCCATGTTGTTTTGCTCAGACACAAAATAAAGTTATCGAACTATCAGTGCTTCAGTTTGCAAGGATCATGGCATTGACCAACTGAAAAGAAGAGATAAGTTCCCTGAAATGGTTATGAGAAGGTTGTTCCATCTTTTTAAAGGCTACAGCACTTCATACCTATCTGGGAATACACCCTGCTGAATGTAGTGGTGATTCCTTCTGCATAAATGTGCACAGCATTTGCTGTTGGAGTGTTCAGAAGAAATGCCTGCACCTTAATGGAGGCTAGAAGCATTTTATCAAACAGGTCTTTATAACTAACTGTACTTGCTGTATTGTTGGACATTTTACTTGATATAGCAAAAATGGAATGGAATAGAAATTCCATTGCGCTTCTAAAAATTTAGCCGAGCCATCGCTAGCCTGCTTCCGAGGCTGAGTCTGTGGAAATGTTTGCCTGCGCTGGACGGGGATTATGGAATCTGCAGTCCGGAAGCTATCAGGTTGAAGTAGGTTGTTACAGAACATCCTGTTGTATCTGGAGCCAGGATATTGTGATTCCCCTTATTTTGGCAGTGGTGGGTCTAAATGCATTTGTCTGCTGATTTGGCCTTCAGCCAAATGCTTATTTGAATTTGGGTACTGCAAGGGATTTCTCATAAAGAAATTCCTCGACAGAAGGATACCGTATGATAATATTCAGTATCCCTCAACTCTTATACAGTACTTTGCAGAATATGTAACGGGAAGGGAGGAAAGTACAGTATGAGAGATATAGAAATCAGGCATACTACAGGAAAGAAATTGAGAGGGATTTAGGGAATAGTGGCAGAGTTTTTAAACCACTGACAGGAGGATAGCACTGCTGTTTCACAGTGCAGGACACATGGGTTTAAACGTGGCATTAATCCTCACAGTCCTTGAGGCTTTAGGCAGTAGATGGTCACCTGAATCAGAGATTTCTAGCAAATTACTTGCTTCCCACAGTGTGAAATTCTGCTGTTGCAGAATCTCCCATTCAGGGAGTGGCACTTGCTGCTGTTCTTAGAGTTAGACAGCAGGGGGCAGCCTTTCCTCTTGCCACAGCTAGTTTCAATTGCAACCAAGTTTTTGGCCTGCTGAACTGGCAGAGTGTTGTCAGAGTCTTAGGGGAGAACGACTTTGTAAGAGCACACCCATATTATTGCATTCTGATTGCTGTTCCGGTTTAACATTTCTTGCTCTGAAAATGAATAATGATTGTTGGGTTAGAGTTTTCCTTTTTCTATGTATGTGAGCAAACCACTGCGTGGCAAGTTGATCTTTAAACTGCGTGGCCCTTCATCTTTGAGCTGCAAATGCTTGAGTGACATTCAAGCCCTGGCTTGTATTTTGTGCTGCTCTATCACAAAGGAGTTGTTTGGATTTTTTTCTGCTCAGCGACTGATATGAACTCTGTGGAATGCTGTATTTCAGAAAAGGCCAGCAAGGGTTTTGCAGGTTATCATAATTACATTTTTCCTCCTGCTTAAAGGTTACGTATTATGTCACATAGTCAACTAGTAGCCAGATAAAACCAGGCTTTATTACTAAGCCCTGATCTGATTGACATAATTGAATATCAAGAGATGTGATTAGCAGGCAACTGCAAAACAATTGCTGAAGTAGCTTTGCACAACTAGGTATAAAGACCTACTCATCTGCTAAGGTTTCTGCAGGACCACAGAGGTATCTTATTTGCTAGACTAGTCGTGAAGCTTTAAAGATGCAAATGATCAAGTTGCACTGTTTAGGACTCCACGCTATTGTATGTTAAACTGCAAATGAGAAGGCCTGCCTGCAAGTGATTGCCCCTTTTTGTTGTGCATCAGTGACTAGTCTCTCATAAATAGGGATTGACAAATTTCTCTTAATTTCCCTTGCTCTCACACTGGTATCTTAGAGTACTCAAATCTCACTTTTTAAAAATCTTTGCACCATTTTTCTTGTTGTTTGAATATCATTCATCTGAAAGGATGGAAAGTGACAAAGCAATTTCTTACTTTTTTCCCCGCTGTTGTTATTGATGTGGCTGCCTTGAAACTGCTTTTGTAGCGTTCTTTTGCTGACCCATTAGTAAGGTAATCTAGGAACGTTACTTTCAGATGAGATAGAAGAATAATGCTTTTTACTGGAAGTATTATTTTAATGGGAATGTGCCGGCAATGGTGTTTACCAGAGATGTGCATTCTGGGTTTGATATCACTGAGACACGAACCTAAATTTCAAGTAATTCATAGTTACATAAGAAATAGGCAGAACTGACTTACCGTACATAATTCTGAGGAACTTTCATAGGGAACCCATAAGTTCTTGAAAGAATTCAGAAATAAGGTGCCTTTATTCACTTTTCATATCATTATCTGTGATAATTACTGTGCTCATCTATCACAATTTTTGGAAGCTGATAATTCTCCCACTGTCCTTCACCCTTTCCTGATATTTATACATTTGAAAGTGATGAAGTCAGAATAAAAATTCTGTAGAAGGTGCTAAATGTCTGCCAGCTGTATGTGGACATTTGATGCGTCCCTTTGAATGATCCACAGATTATATGTTAATTTGCATTTTCTTAATCCTAAATCACTAAGAACGGCCATTTAGTTTGTGATGAAATTCAAGGGTGAATTAGTTGCTCAGGCAAGGACATTAGGCACCCCATGACTTTCATACTGAGTACCATTTGGGATATTCTAGCAATCCCCTGCAGTGTATGTGGGGCCTAAGATTTCATTACAGGGAAAAACTTGTTGGATTTGTTTCGCCGCATGAGAGGCAAATGTCTCGAGATGCTCAGTCTTTGTCTCTGATTGTTGGCCACTAGCTTTTTTCTGAATGCAGATGCATGTGGAGGTAGATAATAATGTTTTGAAGTAAACGTTATTTTTATCATGACAAAGTTTCTTGCACTTTAATGCTCAGAAAGGAATGAATAATCAGCAAGATGGTTACGTGTCTGGCTGCGTGCCAGCAAGTTTCCCAGACACTAAATTGTTTAATTCTCCAGTTTATAGATAGCTGTATTTTAAGGTTAAGGTCACCCTGAAGGGGAACAAGGAGGAGTTGGCCCATACTAAACCAAGAAGGCCGCGACCGGCTGATATTAGAGTATGGGCTGGGCAGAGGATTGCTGTGGGGGGATGCGCTCCTTTTGAGCTGGAGACTGCCCGTCAGTACACATTTTCTCTCTCTGAGCAACTGTCTCTTTAAATAGGCCCTCAGGCTGGGCAGCCGTTAGAAATCCCAGGCAGGCTTCTCCTCAGATGGTGGCAGTCTCAGCTCCGCATGACCAAGAATTAACTTTCAGCAATTAACAAGAGCCCTGAGCTCAAAACGGCAGCAGTTGCGTCTCTTCCCTCTCCCCCACCCCCAGCACGTGCCTGCGCTTCAGTGGAGCAACCTTTATGCTGGTTTGTCACAGGTTCAGGACTGTTCAGAAACGCTTACTGGTTTCTGTTTTTTCCATGATGCAAGCAATTTGTGCTTGTTATCACACTGGGTTAGCGACGCAGCCACTGCAGGCCTCGGAAGGCAAAAACGCTGAGGTCAAACAGTATCTCCTGCCTTTGTAAGCAGGGCTCCATTAGTGGCTTCTAATGTGACTGTTGGGGGATAGGCAGAACCCCGCGTTTTGTTGGCAGTTCATTTAAAAGTTCTCATACTCTGTTTGGAAGACAGACTTTGTGCCCTTGCATTGAGCTGTGTGTGTCTCTATCCCCTGCCTCAGTCTTGCAACAAATTCTTAGCTTTAGCCTGGGGATGGTAGGATTGTGTGTGTGTGTGTGTGTAAATTAGTTGAAGCTGGGGACCTTGCGTTATTTTTTTTCCTATGTTGCATGAAAAAACTGGAGTGGAATGAATTCCAGTTCCTTGCACCTTTCCCAACCCCAGCTGTTTGCTGTCCTGATGTTTGGACATGACAGCTAGAATTTCCAGCCATTGGCCATGCTGGCTGGTAACTGATGAAGGCTGAGCTAGGTGTTTATGGTCATGCTGGAATAAAATAATCATTTCCTAGATAGACAGCCCCCCCCCCGACTTTATTGAATAATGTAATCTAAAAGCCTTTCAAGCATTAAAACTTAATAATAAATATTATCATAATGAGGTAGATTCAGAGTAAATGAGTGGCATTAAAGTTCTGTTGAACTTTAATTTCAGTCAGATTGTAGCCTCAATCCAGTCCACAATTACTGTATATCAAATTCTACAGTAATTGAAGCAAATTATGAGGACCTTTGTGTAAATATGAAATTATGAAAATATATTTGCCAGCAGCAGCCTGCCAGATGGAATGCACAGCACAGGATGGTGGCGACACTGTTAGAGGGGGTGAGGTGGTTGCTCCTTGTAGTTTAGAAACATAAGTGACAGGTACTTCTGTGCTGGAGTAAAAGAGAAGAACATGCTTAGCTTTGGAAAAAGGAGGAACTAAAACATTTTGGAGAGGGTCAGGAAATGGTGCGGAGTGTCTTTACGGAAGGGAGGGGAACGTTCCTTCCCATTAAGTTCCTTGATTTTTGTGTTGAGAATTACATGAGTGATGTACAAGCATCTAGAATGTGTTTGTATTGCTTGTCCAGCTACTTTCTGTATAGCCTTGGCAATAGCAGTAGGACCAGAAGTTAAATGAAGAAGCACATTTTCCAGCTACAAAGCATTGTGTGACGAGTCCTGGAAAATGTGATATTCCCACTGCAGAAGAGTTTCTGGAGGAAATGGTATCTGGTTCTCCCTGACAGCTGTGCCTTTGAGAGAATCTATGAGGCTAACAACAAACAGGAACTGTGGTATTTTACATGTGAGGGGACACTGTGTTGGGAGTCTCTAGGTTTCTGAAATGGATCTGGTTCTGTTTCCATTAGCTTCAAGGAAAAACTTCTCTAACAAGCTGCCACAATGCCATGAGATTTGTGGCCTTGTGAATCACTTGGATTTTCATCTTGCAAATGCATTCAGTATCTGCTGGTTAAAATTCAGGCAAGATAGATGCTAAACTTGCCAGTGATTCATCATATCTTGCTCATCCACGATCCCTGTAGTCTGCCTTCTTAGGCTTTAAGTGCACTTTAAATGCACTTAAATGCATTTACCGACAGCCTGTATTTTGGTGAGCCTGTTAGATAAGAATCCAGTAGAAAGGGCAGAGTCAGTGGTCCATGTGTCTTAAGTCTATGTCTATACTACATCATAAGGCTAATGTTAGACTTCACAGAATAAGTGTAATTAATCCCCCCTTTTCCTTTCTCCCTCCCCTTCGTTTTCTAGTTATCTCATTTATGAAGGTCTTTGAGCGCAGTGCCTGCAGGTCAATTGAGACCATGGTGGATATTTTCCAGGAGTACCCTGATGAGGTGGAATACATCTTCAAACCATCCTGTGTGCCCCTGATGAGATGTGCAGGATGCTGTAATGATGAAGCGCTAGAATGTGTGCCCACAGAGGTGTACAATGTCACCATGGAGGTGAGACAATGGTTTAACAGTCAAGGGGACTTAGCAATGAGGGAGAGCCTCTTGATTTGCAGTTCTGTCTTGTTTCCTTTAATAAAAACCACTATGGGTGGTTTCTGTAATTTGGGAAGGATCAACTGGTTGTCTTAGGCCACATCCAGCTCCTACCTGTTGGCTGTGGAAAGAATGGAGAAGGATGTTCTTACCTATTTTTAATGTGACCAATGTTACTCCCTGGGCAAAATGACTAGGTCAGCAGTGCTTCTGAAATTGCAAAAAGTGCAGCCAAAAAATAGAAACAAAAACAAAAACACCCCTTCCCAACAAAACAGAAAAGAAATTGCCCTAGTGGCCTTTGTCATTTCAAGGACTACACATTTGGCCTTAGCTACTGTGATGCTCTCCTGTTCTCCAAAGGGAAGGGCAGTAAAATGAGGAGATGTGCTTTGTCCACAGTCATTCAAACCTGAGTATAATTTTCCCTGGAAATTCAGACACCACTTTTTGCCTGTATTATTAGATACATATGCACAGTTGGAGAGAGAGAAATCACACACCCATTTAGTAACAACCTACATTTCTGGTTGCACTGTATGGTACACTTCACGGATACCTTAAAAGACTTTGGTACTTAGCCTGATAAACTAAGTAAAGGGATCTGTGACTTGCCCCAAGTCTGTTATTCTATATATGCCTTGTTTAATTCTCTTCAAATGGCATCCAGGTTTTAGAATGTAGCTATCAAAGGATCTTTGTGAAATAGGCAAGGCCACATTTGTAGTATATAAGGGCTTGGTAAGGCAATCTATTTTGGAATGCAGGGCAAGAAATTTTTTAATTTTTAAACTTGTGGACTAACATGAGGCCCATTTAGCAAGTCCAGGTAGTCCTCTTTTGGTGGCTGCCTTGTTTAGTGACCCTTTGCAATTACTGCAGTGATGAAAAAGTAACTTTACGACCAATCCTCGCATATATGACCTTCACAGGTCTGTAAAGTAAAGGAAAACTGAAGTAAGATTGTAAGCACAGTCATGGTTTCACTTAGCAACCGCTTTATTTAACAGTTGACTTGCTGGTCCCAATTGTGGTCGCTAAATGAGAACTACCTGTACTTTTTTGTTATGGCCATTCGTATCAGGAATTTGGCATTTCTTGCTGCTTTTGAGCATTTTCCTATACATACCTTACTCAGAAGTAAGTCCCATGAGTTTAGAGCAGTGTTTCTCGAACTTGACAACTTTAAGATTTGTGGATTTCAACTCCCAGCATGGCTGGCTGGGGAATTCTGGGAGTTGAAGTCCTCACATCTTAAAGTTGCCAAGTTTGAGAAACACTGGTTTAGAGGGTAAAGTGGGGATAGGATGCCAGCTAAAGGGTCCTATCCCTTGTATTCCTTAATTTTGCCCCTCTGTTTTAGCATCATCTTGCTTATTTGTTTTGAGAGGTGGCCCTTCATGAACGTGACTCACTGTTCCTCTCTTTTCTTTCTCCCTCCTGCTCCATTCTTTCCTTCTAGATCATGAGACTCAAACCCTTTCAGAGCCAGCACATAAATGCGATGAGCTTCCAGCAGCACAGTAAATGTGAATGCAGGTGAGGACTGAGCTTTTGGGGTTGAATTAGGAGTAGGATGTGCCACTCTGCAATTGTACCAATAGGGGTGATGAATTAAAACACCCACTACCCACCCAAAATCTTGTGGTCTAGGTGTGTGTTTTGGTAACTTAATTTATATTGATTGAATGATTATATACGTTTACTGACCAGTAACAAGGAGGGCTTTAACCTTTCCTCCTTAGATATCTCAATTGCATCAACACTGCTTCATAAGGAGAGGCATTCCTTATGTGCCTGCATGTGTATCCATGAAATGAATTTGTGTGTGTGTGTCTGTGTGCTTGCATGCTCTCAGCCTCTGTCATGGAAATTTCACTGACTGACTGGTACATTCTTTTGGTAAGTGCAGATTGAGAACCAGTAGCTAGTTGAGAAACATTGTACTGGTGTTCTGCTCTAAGTAAGTACACAGATGGTTGGGGTTATGCCTACGTACCCATATGCTCTGATCCCTTAATCCCCAACCTTTGTATTATGAGATCCTGATTATGATCAAGAGAGCTAGTTTGGTGTAGTGGTTAAAGTGCTGGACTAGAATCCCAGAGACTGCAAATTCTAGTCCTCCTGTAGGCATGAAAGCCAGTTGGATGACTTTGGGCCAGTCTCTCTCAGCCCAACTCATCTCACAGGATTGTTGTGGGGAAAATAGAAGGCAGGGACATTATGTATACTACCTTGAGTTGTACAAAATAACAGTGGGATATAAATCTAATAATAGATCTCTATAAAGCAGAGTTCTATGACAAAGCGGGTTATATTCATCTTCAAGCAGATATGTATAAAATCTCCCTTCATATCCTGCTACTTAGTCAATGTTGGGCATAGGGAAATGGAGCTGGGAATATTGGGGGCAAGGCCAAAGAGTACGACTCTGTGACTTTTATGCATATATTTAGGCATAACATCTGAACAGTGTTTTAATCTGGTCAGAAAGAAATGTGCTTCTCCTGATACTCTGCCCTTGGCTGTCATAATTAAGGCCAAACTTCACCAACCTGATGGCCCCTTGGTGTTTTAAGCTTCTACTGCGATCATTCCCAGATAGCATTGTCAGTTGACAAGGATAATGGAATTGATAGTTTGGACCATTTGGAAGGCTGAGATAGGCAGTGCTGGAAGAGAGAAAGAGCTTCCTTTATTACGTTTTCTGTTGAGAGTGGGGTAGTAAAAGCATGGATGTGATGTTCGTACCTATTGCTAGTTCTCTCCTAATCCTGCCATTCTTTTCTTCCATTATAGACAAAAGAAAGAAGTCAGAATTAGACAAGAAAAGTAAGTGACCTGGATTATATCCCTTCCCCCAAGTTGGTGTTGGTGATCTCCCTCCTTTCTTTCCCAGATCACTACAAATAAGAACTGATGGTTGTTGGGTTTTTTTTTTTTTAAGAAATCAAGTGTTCATTTTAAGGACTATATCTTGAATCCATTCCTCTTAGCTACAGTCACACATGTAGCTTTGACAGCTGTGGTTCCCTTTTGCCTTGAGGCCATTTTGAAACTGTTTACTTATAAAAATATGTAGGACAGCATGGAATTAACAGAAAGCTTTTATCCCTTTTCAAATGGATTCTGGGTGAAACTTTCCTTCCACATGCATTTTACACCATTGCTCTCCCCTCTCTTCGCTGCTTTGATGAAAGCTTGCTGATGTTCACAGCAACTTTCATAGATACCTAACATTAAGGCTATGCACGGGAGCTCTGCTATCTCACTTAGAGCAAGGGAGTTTGCCCTGTCATGAACCAAAGGACACGTACGCCCAATCAAAGTGTGGGCAGGGTCCTGATTTGAATTAACTTTGCGTATTAATCATGAAAGGAAGAATAAAGAGAGTTATATTCACTTTGTCTCCAGCACTCCCTAGCATGGTGCCTTCTATAGAGCTTTTGGAAAACCTGTCCCAGATTATTGGTATCGCTGGCTGGGGCCAATGAGATAGTTGTTCAAAGCATTCGGTAGCATTGCATTGTGGTGACTGTAGATGAGTTGCGTATGGGAATGGAAGTAGTTGATCTTGTAATGTAAAATTAACATCTACTTTGAGCTTTGTGTAGTATTATTGAATGATAAAATAGAATTCTTCTCTACATATTGGCTAGACTAACCAAATGTGGATTTTTTTTTTCATTTCCAACTTAAAAATAAATGCAAACATGCACTGTGAGGATATATTAAGATGGTTCATGGTCTGTGATTTGGCATGGAAGCTGGGGGAGAACGAGAAAGAGAGAGTGGGGGATGGGGAAGATCTTTTTAGTTAGTTGTGCTGTTCTCATGTCCCAGTTTGAATTGAATTCTCATGAATTCACATTGTGGAGCCATCAGGGGATGGCCCAAGGGAAATACTCCTCGCTTGGCTTATGCTCTTCTGGTGTATATGTTATTTGGCTGAATGGCAGAGTGACTCAGAGATGTGAGAGTGTTGTGACTGAGTGAGCATTGGTGCAGATAGAATATGGCCACAGCTTCCTCTCTGGGACTATAGCTTTCCATTCCTTTAGATGGCTTACTTTGCTTTGCAAATCTCCATATCAGGATGGGGTTCCCTCTGGTTTGGGTTAAACTGAAATTTCTCTTATGCTTGATGCCTTCTTCATAGTGTGCCTCTGGATGAATGTGGCATTAATGAATGTAAAACTTTGTGAAAGTTTCCTGAGGTAAACATGCTTTCTCTGCCCTGCTAGTAGTTCTAACTGTGTTCTTATGCTGCTTACTTTGCTTGTGGTTAGGAGAGAAAAACTGATGCCAACCAAGAGGCTTGAACAAGATCCAGAGCACATCCTGTCCATTAACCTCAGGGACTGCCTCCTTTATTACAGCATTTCCTTCTCCCAAACAGTTTTAAATAAACTGTTTCTAGGAGGAAAGGAGTGCTTTTCTCATTAGGTTTTAGCCCAGCAGTATTGCGTTTTTCCATGTGCATTTCTCCCAGAGTCTGCTGCTAGAGCAGTAGGCACTAGGTTTCACCTGATTTTCTCCTTGGCTGGGATTGCTGCTATAGATCTGTACACATTATCAAAAGTCCATGGGAAGACCTTAACATGCATGGGTAAGGATTTGCTTTGTAGAAGGTCCCAGGGATTTCCAGGCAGAGCTGAGAAAATCACTTGCCTGAAAACCTACCAGAGGCTCTGCTACATAGTGTAGAGATTATTAAATTAGATGGACTGGTAGACTGCTCATAGAGTTGGTTTCTAAAGGTCATAGTTTTTAATTAAAGGATGGAAAACCAAACGTATACATTCACTTTCTCTGGCATTTGCAGTAGGGAAAGTGGCTCAAATTCTCTGGCAAAAAAAGACATTGTGTCATCTTCCAAAGAATGATAATTAGGTTAGCCTTCTTGCCATACCTGAGTAAGTGTGGAAATTGGCTCTATTTTAAACCTCTAGTACCAGCAAGGGCTTCAGAAGCAGGAAGGATCAGGGTTCATCTGCCTATATATAACAGCTCATAGAGCTCTTGGTTATTTGTGATAAGACCCATAATAATGGATTCAGACCGGCCATAATTATCTTGGGTTCCAAGTAAGACCAGAGCAGTTGAGGCTGAACTGCAGGTTAACAGTTTGCCTCCTTTTTCATAGAATGCAGAACTACCTCCTCACCTTTCACTGTTACCTGCCTCCAGGTGAACAGCCCAGAGATGCTTTCTGGTTGCTCCAGTGAGAATTCCCAGATGTGATTTGCTGAGGGTAGAGCTTGCGTATGTCAAAACAAAAACAAACAACTAGGTGCACACTGAGCCAGCATCAGCAGTTTATTACCAAGAGTGATAGTGCTGCCTACGGTCTTTCTTCTCTACTGAGGATGGAGGCCCCATTCTATCTGGGGACCAGCAAGGTGACTTCTAGGGCCCATAATGACAAGTGGAGCCAAGAGAAGGCATTTCAGTTTCTTGGGGAAGGAGCAGGATTGTAGGCTGGGGGATATTTGAAGTGAGATGTCTCTGTAACTGGAGGGGGAGTTGAGAGCTTGTCTGGTTTCAACTTGTGATAGGGTTGTGTGAAGAGTAGAAACAACTTTATTTATTTATTTAAAAGATTTGTATGGTCACTCATCTTAAAACACAACTCTGGGTGGCTCACAACCACAAAGAAGCCTCAACTCCAAGGGCTTCCACTGTTTAGATGCTTCCCCTTTAGCTAAATGCATATGGTAGCTTCTCTCTCTCTTCCTCCTTTTTCCTCCCCCCTGTGCACTTTCTCTCTCTCTCTCTCTTGCTTGTTTTGTTTTTCTTCCAGAAAATCAAAGCGAGGAAAGGGGAAGGGTCAAAAAAGAAAGCGCAAGAGAGGCCGGTATAAACCACAGAATTTGTACGTTTTGCATCATGTGCTTTTAGACTCTGCCCTTTACCCATTTCCTCCTATCACCCTTCAAATCAAAACTCCTGCTTGCATTACATCTAATTAAACAATCAAAGGAGCAAACAATTTTCACTCACATCTCCAAATTACTTGTTCTTGTGGTGGCAGTATAGTTTGGGGACATTGGGAGCAGAAGCATATAGAAGCTGTGATTCTTTTTTTTTTTTTATTTTTCCCCCTTGCTTGGGAAGACACAGTGACCTGAAGGGACAGGCAGATTTCTCTTGTTTCACTCCTGCTTTCCCCCTGGAATACCCCTACATGATTCCCCCATCCTGTTTCCCTTAATTTCCTCTTGGCTGTCACCTTTAAACCTGTTGGTCTGGCAGCAAGAGCTTGATGCTTGTCTTTCATGCATGTTTGCCTGTGTGTGCGTGTATGGAGACTGATGGCAACTACTAACCATTACCAGAGGGGAGCTAGAGGGTTCTGGGAAAATTTGGGGAATGCTCTCTCTTTCTCTCTCTGCTGGAGTTGGGTGCCCTTTTTCTTTCTCTGCCTCTCGTATCTCAATTCACCAAATCCTGCATTGCCAGTAATTCTCAGGTGGGAGATCTGATGCGGGTGGGGGATTTTAAGAGATGCTGTTTTGATTCAATCCATATGGAAAACCACACAACTTGAATAGGGGCAGCTGGATTCTGAAGTCTGCTTTTTCTCCTTTTTTAAGCCAGGGTTTTCTCTGTAGGAAGAGTTGCCCTTGAGTATTTTCTTTCTTTTTTTTGCTATTGGCTCAGAGACCTCGGTTTACAATAATGAGGCTCTCATTTCTGCTGCAAATTGGACTAATGCAGGATTTGTTGATTGTGCAGTTGCAGAGACCCCATTTCTGCCTTTTAAAAAGCTATTGCAAGTAAGTGTCGGAATGCCTTCGGGAGTGTCCGCCACCCAGCAATGCTCTAGATGTGCAGTGTTGGGGGTGGGGGCAAGGGGTGGGGGCAAGGGTTGCTTCAATGTTTAGGGTGTTGCATGTGTACATTTCTTCCCGCTAAAGCGCTGTAGCTTAGACCTCTTTCCTTTTGCCTTTTTGCAGTCACTGTGAACCTTGCTCAGAAAGGAGAAAGCACTTGTACAAACAAGATCCCCTGACCTGTAAATGTTCCTGCAAATTCACAGACTCACGTTGCAAGTCGAAGCAGCTTGAGTTAAACGAGCGCACTTGCAGGTTTGTGTCCTGAAGAATGAAAAACAGAAAATAAACCCCACATACTAGTCTCTCAGACACATTCATTCAACACACATTGAGAGAGAAAGGGAGAATTAGCTTTTGCTGGCTTCTGGTGCCAGCATTCTAGTATCCCCTTTTTCTTCTGCTTGGCCAGGTAGGTCAAGAGAGAAAGGGATGGTGTAATCCACCTAAAGTTTAAAGCTTCCTTTGTTCTGGCAGAGTTGAGGTGAAATGTCTGCCAGTAGAGTGATGATTGATAGTCTAGAATACATTCCTTGGAGAACAAGGTGGCTCCTTCCACATTGCTAGAACCCAGGAGAAGTCCTCAGAAATCTTGATGCAAGTCCTGGTATAACACAACTGGCTGTTTAATGAGATCGCCAGTCTTTTTTGCCTCATTAGCAAAGATCTTGCCCTATACTTGATGCTTGCAGGATGGAAACAAAACCCCAATCCATCTTTTTAAGCTCTATATAAGACCTGCAGTGGATTAAATCTACCTGGGACTGAATCATAAATCCAGATATGCATTCTTTCCTGCACCTTTCTTTTACCCTAGAACGTGTGTTTTCTAAGAAGAATGTGTGATCAGCCCTTTCCTTCTCTATATTATTTCTGTGTATTCAGAAGAGTGAAGTGCCTGGAAAAATGTCTTGGCTAGAGCTCAGGTGGTCCAAGTAGACAGAAACCGGTGTTAAGAACCAGGGTATCTATCCCAGATGGATACCCTGCCTGGTATCATGCATATGGCATACTGTCATCTGAGTTACCTGCCTTGTGGCTGCAAATGCCAGCCTACCATTCATAAGTTTGCTTCTGAAAAGCATACTTCTGAATGTGCCGTGACTAGGATAGCAGAAGTCTGTTCAAATCTCTGAGTATAGCACATGAGGTTCTACCATTTCTAGGATATCAGAAAGTGCTCACCTAGACTCAGGCTGATGGTGTTGGACTTTATATATATAATGAAGCTCAGTTGTCTGGGCAAGGACCTGGGACATGGCTGCATGTGTAGAGGAAGCTTGTGAGGGTCTGTAATCTGAGTGTGGATGCCTAGTACCGCAGCAAGAAGAGAGCCAGCTCTTCTTGAGTTACAGTTCACCGTGCAGAAGTTAGCCCCTGGAGAGAAACCAAACAGCTCTATGACCTTGACCTTTATAGTTTCCCCTCAAATTAACCCATGAGTAGGTTGAAATAATCCTTGAAGAAAGTGTCAGGCTATTCCCAAAGGAAGAAGGGGAAAAATGGCTAATTGAGAAATTGCCCCAGTGCAGGACCAAGGCTAGTCTTCAGGTTGCCCTTGAGTAGTGTCTTGGGCCAGAGGAGAGGTTGGATTGTTTGGGGTTTGGCAGCTGTTCGGCTGCTTCAAATGAACTCTTCACTGCAGGGAGGAAATCGGGACTGTCAAAGGGCACAGCTGATTCTCCGTTTCCTGGCTTCTACCACAGCTGCTATGGTGGTTGCTGTGTTTAGGCATTAATCTCTGCCTCTGCAAGCAGTGGAATTAAGCACTTCGTTTTCTTCCCCCTTTTGCTGGCACAGGCGCCCCTGGCTTGGTTTGGCTGCACCTCTTTAAAAACACAGCAAAACAGCCTAGCGTGGAGAATGGGGTAGACCGTTCCCATCCATGGGTGAGTGAGAGGTGGCCAGGATGTAAAAATCAACTTTGGAGGTGAAGTAGTTCTGAATAGGTATTGTTCTCATATGCAGGAAAAAACTGGAGGAAATGCCGTGGCTTTTGTTTTTTCTTTAAGAGCAAGTCCTATGGGTGCCTGTATGCCATTCTGATGTATTCTGGGGTGAAACATTTTGGCTAATCTTTTAACTCTAGAGGTTCCTGCTCACCTGCTAATGCCTTATCTACTCTGAGAATCCCACACTTAGTGACCTAACCTCTCCTCCCTTCTCTTCTCTCCTTCACAGATGTGAAAAACCGAGACGGTGAGCAGCAGAGAAGAAAGAGAGTGCGGGAGCAGCCTTGGTTCTGGAGCCTGACATCTCGCCTGGTCAGAAACAGAAAACAAACACTAATCCAAATGAACACTAAAATGAAGGATCAGCAGCGCACAGCACTTTTGAGTACGGACGATGGACTCTGGAAGGAACATTCCTTGAGGACCCGCGCAGGATTCACCTTTTGGTTTCGAACTGGTTTTACAGAAGAACTTTCCTTCTCATGCTGCTAAGATATAGAGCCAGGGAGAGTGGAGTGGTATATGTTTTGGGACTCCCATTTCACATGAAGTATATGTATATGTATATGAATATGTATGTGTATATGTATATATACTGAATTTTTAAAACATTGCTAACATTATTGGTGTCTTCACTGGATATACTCAACTGCTGTGGACACAAGTGGGCTATTTGGGACGTAAGAAAGAAACTACGACTGGACTCCAGTCAAAACTGCTCAGTATAATCTTCAAACTCTTCCTGACCCTCTAAAGCCTGCTGGTCCATCGATCTCGCTTCCTCTCCCCACTCTCCTTCCCCAGTCCCGTGTGGCGAAACATTTGTCCGAGAGAAGAGATAGCAGGGGATTCCCAAAATGGCACCTTGGAATACTGTGGGTCAAAAGGTCAAGGAAATAACTCTTAAATGCTGGAACTGGTGATTCAATCAACTTCCCTTCCCCTTCCTCCTCGAAAATCTGTTCCCGAATCTGGCTCACAATCTGCTGGCTTCACTGGGTCATTGGTGTATGTTTTTGTATTGACTTGCTGCAGGAACGTTTTGCCGCAGATAACGTGTTCTGGCCTTAATGATGGGAAATGGCTGATGTTTGGACTTGTCAGCTCAAGGAGGTGTCCCTGGAATCCTGCCATCCCTGTTGGCTACTTAAATAATGGATGTCATATTGGCAGATGGAGACGGAGGAAAGAAGGAGGACTAACAGAGAGCCGGGCAGTTGAACAGCGCTGTCTACCATCATTATGCACAGAGCTGCCACTGAAGATACTTCTGGAACATCTCTGGAAAGGGATATTAATCTAAAGTATATATGCACAATAGGCAGTATGTGTGAGTGTGTGTGAGTGAGGGGGTATATACATACAACTGTACAGGTCTTTTTGTTTTTTTCTTTTTTGTGCCTAATAAGTTCAAAATTGGCTTGTAACATTTTGGGCCCTCTAGGGAAAAGCTGGTGAGAGCTTACTTTTTAGCATTGTAAATTTGTTATTATTCTCAGTCTTGTTCCATGAATATGTTAAGACATGGTGTTCTTTGCTGGAATTGTGATGTAGGACTTATTACAACAACAAAAACTAGCATAGATTTTCCCCATTATCAATAATAGTTGAATAACTTGGCCCATCCATCCAGATATGACTCGCTCCAGAGTTACTCTGCTCCCACTGTTGGCAGAGGAACTTCTGAATTAAGGAGGGACTTTGTGTAGGATTCAAAAGAGACCTTCATAACTTAAGAAGATTTTCCAGTTAAGTTACAGAGAACACGGGATGGAAGGAGCAACATAATTTTGGGGCAGTTCTAAATGTGTTATCCAGTTATTCACTGCATGAGCCAAAATAGTATTAAATAATGCTGCTGTGAAGCAGATTTAAGAGGGAAGACAGAATTAAACCACCATGCTTCCCTCTGTCCTTAAAGCCATACCCATTTCCCAAATTAGGCAATTCACCTTTACTTTGACCTTTACTTTTGGAGTGTCCACTGTAGACATTACAAAGTATGGTTGTTTCTTCCCTTTTCCCCAATGACCTATGCAGACTAGAAATCTAGGCTTTAGGTTAGACTCCCCCAATCCAAGGTCTTCCATAGCAGTTAGCCCATAGAGCCAATATTCCCAGTCTGCAAGGCAAATCAGCCTGAGGAAAGTGGGAGTTGCAGTTGAATAGTTCTGGAAGGTAGCAGATTGGGGAAGGCCACCTCGGGCTTTTTCTGTTAATTTCTCAAATGTTGATTACTGTGTTGTTCTGGTGACGGTTTTGAAACCTAGCTGAATTAAGTGCTTCTAGGCAAAAGGTTTAAGTTCAGGTACACACTGAGTCTGTTCTAAGCCCCAGAGTTATTAGCATTTTAGCACGCTTCAGATTTTGGTTCATCACCAAAATCCAAGTCAGGGTAAAACTGATGGGGTAGAGATGATTGTTTTTCTTTTTTGCATATAGGTCCAAAAACATGGGTTTTTCATAACTGCTCTTAACCAAGCCAATATATACGTAACCCTCAGGACAGTAGACAAAGCTCTGACACCAGACAATTGGCAAGATTCCATTTAACTCTGGTTTGAAGATGTCATTAGAACAGTGTTTCTCAACTTGGCAACTTTAAGATATGTGGACTTCAACTCCCAGAATTCCCCAGGCATGCTGGCTGGGGGATTCTGGAAGTTGAAGTCTACACTTCTTAAAGTTGTCAAGGTTGAGAAACACTGCCTTAGGATATGGGACTTGGACCAGCCAATCTGATTTGTTGAGATTTGGTTTAAGTAATCAATAATTGTTTTTGGGGAATCAGGCTATAATTCTCAGTGCCTTGCATATAAACGCTTGAATCACCAAAGCATCTCCCAAGTCGCCAGGCATTTAATAAACATTTGGACAGGAGGTGATAGGACAGACTTTTAAAGGCAGCAGTATACTCTATAAATGTCTGAAGCAGTTTGTCCAAAGATTACATGGCCTCATCTTGCTACACTGGAAAATGCAAAATGTTACTGGTAGTAATCACTTGACAACCTCTGGGTACAGTTCTCTGTTAAACTTTCTGCAGTTCCAGATCAAATACATTAGAAGAATTGAGGCTGCTGGACACGACTGAATTTGCAAGGACAGGATTCCCATTTTTCTTACTGCATGCAGCTTTGTTAGGCTATAACCAGATAGCATGCCATCCAGCCATTTTAAGTCCAAATCAGCATTGTTGCCATGGGAGGGCTATTCCTGTGTGGTGTATACGTGATACTTCTGTGGGTATCTGGTTGCTCTGCAGTTAGTGAATCAGCTTTGAAAAGGATGGCTGTCTGTATATGTTTGGGGGGTGGGGGGTGGGGCGGAATCAAAGCATCTCCTCTCCCTTTCCCTTCCATGAAGTAGTGGGAGATCCTTGAGCCTGTCCCTGTCTTTCCCTAAGACATGTAATGTTGTTTGGAGCTGGCCATCTGTTTGGCATTGTCAGCACATTTATCAATCCATTGTTGGAAACTGACTGCATAGCTGGGTCTGCAGAGCACAGAAATGTAGAGCACTGTTCTGTGTACCTGGAAAGTTGCGTCTCATTGCCTTCATTGGACTGGAGTGTGCGCCTGCTTCTTGGTCATATTTTTTTTTTCTTTTGTACTATACTTGGTCCACATCAGAATCCTGCCAAATGCTTGTCTGTTTACAGAAAAGCAAGAAAAACTGGCCTTAAATCAACTTTTGACGAGTGTTGATTAACCACTATAAATTCCCCCTCTAGCTGATAGAAATATGATGTGCATTCAGTATGTGTGTGTGTGTGTCTGTGTGTGCGTGTGCATGCGTGTGCACACACGCATAACTGAAATGTATATATTCATGCTGTGTGAGGTGACGTTCTATATACTTGTTTAATATCCCTTTAAAATTAGAAATTAAAAAGTAATAATAATTTAAACTAGGTATTTTTCAGTATTCTTTGTTTAATATTTAATTATACTATTTATAAGCCTTACCTCTTTTTTTTGTACTGTTATGTATAAATTTTTAACTCTTCTGTTTCAACCAATCTTCCCCAATTGTTGATAAAGTGAATAGCATGATCAGTTATTTAATTAATATCTAA